AGTTATATTATTAGATTATCTGTATACTCAAGTTGACCATTAAAACTGTCAATCCAATTTAAGGCATTTATCAGGTGAAGGGTATATCGATTCCAATGGTTATGCAAGTTAATACCATTGAACCTTAATACTACATTACATTATTGCTTGTACAAACCTACTAAATATATTAAGAAGAAAGTGTGAGATTTTGTATTCATTGCCAGAAGTTAGTTTGTATTATATGGCAGAAATAATTCATGATACATGAAAAAGTTCAGTTTTTGTTAAATATACTGTATATAAAGTGATTGAGTTTTTATGTAGTTAAGATAAAAAAAAAACTTTATTGATCCACAAAGGGAAACTAATTTGCTCATAAAATATATAAAATACAAATACATTGTAATCCTATCTGTATTAATGTCACTCAATCTCAAGATAAACAGAACCAGCCATATTGTCCGTGGAACCATGTACTTCTTCACAGGGATGTTTTTCTTGTTTAATATTTTGTCTTTAATTTCCATCATTAGCACATTCATTTTGAAGTTTATTTGTAATCATACTGTAGCAGTCAGGTAGCCATCATTCACATCATCAGAACATGTGTTGATGTCATAAATAGTGTGGACAGGGGTCAAAGGAGCGATGGCAGACAGTGGCACTGTATTGTAGAAATTATGTTTATAATTGACAAAAGCTTGAATTTTGCCAACATGAAGTCTTGATGTGAGGATCTTTTTAAATGACAGTAGGAAATAGCATCATTATAGAGCCACTTGTCATATGCAATAGTTACATTTTTTAAAGGTGACTCTGTTTTAGACAGTTGTAGATGGAGTGTAGATATTCCTTTGACACTGAGTGTAATTGAATTGCTGCCAATGGTTTTGGGTCCTTCAGCTTCACAAGTGATGTTAGCATTGATCATGTCAGCTGTTACTTTCCCAATGGTTAGAATGTTGCTGTTGTTTTCATTGACTTGGCAATTTTTTGGTTATTTATTTATTTATTTGTTATTTATACTGGGTTTCCTCTTCAGTAGCAAATTACTGTTCTCCCAGAGGGCCCAGTACACATAAAACAGTCCACGACACACAAGACAAACATACACACATGATGCTTTTACACAAACTAAATCTCAATATGAGGTTTAGGGAGTGGAGTTGTTTTGGTCGTGAGAAAAAGTCCTGCAACTGACAGGAATTGGACCCATGACCCTGGGATTGGAAAGCAAGCATCTTAACCACCAAGCTATTCTAGTGCAAATAGGGATCTATAAAATATATATAAGAATGACTTAAGGCCTGTTGGTTTTGATATGGGGCATAATGGTATCCTTCTCTTTTTGTCTTTAGAGAAGACACCCCCACAAACTTGCTTAGCACCATATTTGGACTCTATTTTTTCCTAGCTAAATCCCTGCCTTACCTATATGCACATCCATTTTTCAATGATACAGCCAGGAAAATCTTAAGTCTAAATCCAGCAATTAAAATCACAATAGCACATCTGATTGCAATGTACTGTATACAGTATACAGACATATGTCAGGCAATTAATTGTTTACCCAGCTAACAGTTTTCGTTATAACATTATAATACTGTATTGTGTCAGGTTTGGTATATTCAAACATTTTTTATTGTGGAACCATGTATTTACATCTCACAACTAATTATTATTGCTAACTTGCCAAACCAAAATGTTCAAGAACATCATCATAATATTTGTGTTTGCTGGGTTTAAATTATGTTATTGAATGCCAGTGGCATATCTAGGGGAGGGCATGGGGGGGTGCATCCTCCCCCCAGAATTACTCGATTCTTTGCTCATTGCTACAATTTTATAGCAAGAAGTTAGTTTGTACTATATGGCAAAAATCATCCATGATGGATAAAAAAGTTCAGTCTTTTCAGTTGGTAAACAAATATACAATGATTGAGTTTTTATGTAATTAAAAAAGTAAGATAAAAAACTTATCCACAAAGGGAAACTAATTTGCCAAGTTCTTATATATAAATATAATCTACTGCATAATAACTTGCAGGAGTGGTTTTCTTATTGCCATTTTTATTTTTTAATGAAAAAATACAAAATTGCAATTACTGTACAAATATTATATGTTTTATTATTATTTAAATTGAACATGAATCATACAGTACAATACAATATACTTTATTCGCAACTAAAAACAGTTGAATTGCACATACATAAGAACTTTAAAATTTGCCTTAAAAGTTAAAAAATATCAAAATGGAGATGGTAAACAAAATTACACAACAGAGCAAAACAGATAATTATCATAATTATTAGTTATAATTATTATCAAAGTAATAATAATAATAATAATAATATTATTATTATTATTATTATTATTATCATTATTATTATTATTATTATTATTATTATTATTATTATTATTATTATTATTATTATAATACTAGTTATTGTGAAAATTAAGAGATTAAAAAAAGAGTGAACCGTTTCAGCCATTGTTGGAGCATGGAGTTATAATTATTTTATTATAACTCCATGGATGGAGCAGTTCACCCGACTATGCAGAGACAACCTACCATTTTCTGAAAAGACCAGCATTAGTAATCAAATTCTGTCCGAACTTTAGGGAGATGGAATTGTTGTGTGGACCTGAGGTTGTATTTATGGGTTGGGGCAGTTGGTAAAAGTGAGTGAAGTCTGTGTGATTGGTCTTTTTGTTTTCTGGAAGTATTGTCTGCATAGTCGGGTGCGCTGGTCTGCCAACTTTGGGATATTGATGAGGGCCAGTGCTCTATCATAGCTTGTATCAGGGACAATGATTTGAAGCGCTCTGCGCTGGATCTGTTCAAGCTGATTGGATTGACAATTAGTAAGCCCTGTGCCTCACACTGAAGCAGCATATTCTAGAACTGGTCGAATAATACTAAT